TCCTGGGCTCTCTGTCTTTGTTCTGTAGCCCATGAACACTTCCAGTTGTTAGCTGTGGTGCTAACTAAATGTAAACACCTTTACTTTCCAGCTGCTGCTAATTGGTTTGGGAATATTTATGTAAGTGTTGATTTTAAAGCTAAATATAGTGTGTTGATGTTTAAATCCAACTCATTCTGGCTGTCAGAAAATGCTCCCGTGATCCTGAAAGTGTTGCTAAAAATGTTCCCTTTTTTTAAAACGTGGTAATTAAACTTGTCTGTTGTGAGAGCCATGTAGGATACTTTACCTGCCCCAATAAAGGAGGAGAGACACAAATGTTCTTGCCTACTAGGCAATATAGGCTCTTCTACTGAACTTTCCTGGCAGGAGAGCCAACTGAAGAGATTAAGTACATTTTGAAACAGCTGCATATTTGATGAAACTTATCATATCTCTGTATTCCTGAGCAGATACAAAGCATAGCAACCTTAATGTCTATTTTTTATTAAAATTTATATGTAGGTGTTCTAGAGGCACTACAGTTTTTGGAAAATAAGTTAAGGCATTGAAGTGAAAGCAATAACATTTCCCAAATCCAAGGATTATAGTCCATTCCATAAGACTCAGTGTCTGTCTCAAATTTGGCTAAATTAACATTCTTTTTTCCCCTCTGTACTTCCTAACTTAAAAGACATGTTTCTACAGATCTTCTTCAAATTACATAAGTATACTGAGTTAAAAAAAATCATCTTCATTTTTAGATCTGTGACTCTTCTCCATGTAATTTATTAAAATAAAGACTCAAGTATTTTTGCATTAATTATTGCCTTTCAGTAATTTCCTCTGATTCTGGGGATGACAGATTAGATAGTTCCTGTCCACACTCAACTACTAACAGTCAAAAAGCTGAAAGCATTTCCACAACAATGTTAAAATCAACCTGGAATTGTTTTTTATTAGCCAATATGCAAAGGTATTTGTTGTACCTCTCACCTATGGACAAGAAGGTCAGAGAAGATGAGCACTGACCATATAGAAAAGGTAGAGAATACTAGATATAGAACTAGGAGGGCCCTCCCATTTTATGTAATATGTTTATCATTAATGCACCTCCCATTTATATTCAATACATAGTTGTTTAGAAACATAGCCATAAATAAATGTCTAGAATGGAGTCTTGTAGAATGTTCCAGAAGGGTTCAAGTTACTCTAAGCCACAAACCTTTAAATTACTGTCTAGTACATTTTTTCACAGCACTAATGAGGAGGAGTCCACCTTTCCTCCAGGGAAATGTTTGAATCAGAGGTCATCTAGTCCCATTCCCTCATTATACCCTCCCCCCAAAAAAGCCTAAAAGGCTAAGTGACTTGCTCAAGGGTTTACAGGTAGTAAGTACATGATATTGCCAGGTGAGAAATATCTATTAGCTGAAATAGTATAATACAGTTATTACCCATTTGGGGGCACCTACTGGAAGACAGTTGCTTCAGGGTACTTTTTAGAATAATGTTCTTCTACAGAGGAATTGAATATAAATTTGGGATACTTTTAAAAATAGTATTCTTCTGCTGAGGAATTGAATATAAATAATATTCTCCCAAGAAATTGAACAATATTATTCTATTAAAGTAAATGTGTATATTTCATTCTTGGTACCCACTTATTGACTGACATGATTGCTCACAACTTGTAGTCAATTCTGAATTATCTTAGAGCAGATTATCTGCGTTTGAACAGATTATCCACACTTGAGCTGGGCCAATCTTGCTTTCAGGTTCTAATTGATATTGCCACCTACTTGGCTTAATTAAGTATTTTGTTGACATAAATAGGATCTTTGCTTCTCTTCAGGTTAGAGGCAGAAGAGAGGAAAGAGAGCCTTTTAAATCTGCAATGAAGGTGTAAAGTAGCAAGTGAATTAACTTCCTGGAAGAGGAAAGTGTGAACTAGAAAACTTAATGATAGTGACCTCTATACTTGGTCAGTTTTAGAAATATCTTGGGCCATTCCTAGTATAAAATGAGGAAACCGATGGTTTGCTGTTTTGACATTTAATCTCTCTAGGACTTGGTTTCTTCATATATAAATTGAGTAGATTAGAGTAGATCTTTAAGGTACTTCCCAACCCTCACATCCTTATGAGTCTCTGAGACTAATATGGAGAGTCAGGCCTTTATATAACAGGTTTGATTATTCTCTATGATGTGCTGGGAATTCCCATTATCATGCATAAACACAAAAACATTTCCCAAGGCTAAATAAAAATTATTTTTTTAATTATCTGCCATTTTTGGCTTATCTGTTTGACCATGTTCCCATATCCCTCCTCATTTGAGTCAATAAACAGGAATTGATTTTTTTATCTAATACATTTTGATTTAGAAACATACCATAAATAAATGCCTAGAATGAAGTTGGAGTCTTGTGCATGCTCCAAGAGCATTCAAATTACTCTAAGCCTCAAAGCTTCAAACTGTTGGCTAGGGCGTTCTTTCACAACACTAATGGGGAAGAATCTACCTTTACTCCAAGGAAATGTTTGCTTACCCCAAATAATCATAGCCAATAATAATAGCTAGCCATCATACAGTGCCTTAAAGTTCATCATCTCATCTGATGCTCACAGCAATCCTAGAAGGTAGATGCCATTATTATTCTCTTGTTGCAAATGATGAAATTGACGGAGACGGGGATAGGTAACTTTCCCAGGGTCATATAAGTAGTAACTGAGGCAAGATTTGAACTCAGGTCTTCCCTAATCCCTATCCACAGTGCCATATAGCTGACCCAAATGCTGGATCATATTACCCACCATTTAACCTATTAAATGGATATATATTCATATAACCTATAACCCAATATTTAACTTATATAACCCATAGTTGTGAGATGGACATGAAGTTCATGTTCTTGAGTCTGAGAATCCCTAAATGATTTTTATTTACTTTACCTCCTCTAAAATGCGGAATAATATAAAGAGCTTTGGACTCAGAAGCCTAAGACTTTCTTATCCTGGGTTCAACACTTTCTACTTAGCTCACAAGGTTCTTATCAAAATAGTATTATGTAATCCATATAGCAATATGACTTATTAGTGCTCTTATACCTAGTACATTTGTACCCATCCCTTAAAGTCCAGTTCATGCCCCCTCCTTCAAGAAGCTTTCCCTGATCTCCCCATCTCCCACCTTGTCAGTAATTAGCAATTACAATGTGTACCACCTTTTTTTTATTATGTAATAATAGTATGTGCTTACAGTTAAATACTTGTGTATCCCTGTTCTAGACTGAAAGCTTCCTGAGACATAAATGCTATCATATCTAAACTTTTTATTTCCCTTAATGATTTAGCAGTGCTCCTTCTCTAAACAGGCATTTCATAAATGTTCTCAAATTTCAATTTTTCCTTGTAGAAATCTGTATTTTTATCAGATTTTCATCCCTTTTCCACCGTTCCTTTCCTTCCAAAGTCTAGCATGTCTCATATTGTCTTGATACACACACACACACACACACGCACACACGTACACACACCTTTCTATTCCAAAACATTTCCCTTCCTAAATTATAGTGCCCTCACACTATTATTGCAACATGGTATAGTCAAAAGTTGGTTTTCAAGGTCAGAGAGCCCAGGTTCAAGTCCTAATCAGTCAACTATTTGGACAAGTTAATTACCATCTCTATGCTTTGCTTTCCTCAGCTTTAAAATGTGGGTATTAGATTAGATTGTTTTCCAGGTCCCTTCTAGCTACAAATCTACCATCTTATTCTTATCTCTCTTCATCCTTGTTTGCATAACAGCTTGGACACATAAAGGAACTTGCTACCCAATAACCTCCTTGTGCCATTTTGCTACCTTGTCATAAAGAGAAAGTTAATCTGAGGGATGTGGTTTATTTAAACAAATACCTTAGGTTAATATAGCACTTAGTGCCTTGTTTACTTAAAGGAGTTAATATAGTTTTCTTAAGTCTAAATTTCCCATAAAGTAAGATTGTATTAGATTATGCTTTCTTTTTAAAAGTAAAAGTCATTACATCCTTGTCTTTTTATTAAAAAGAGAAACTCAAAACTTCACAGAGGTTGCTCGATCTGTATTCATAGTGTGGTAGTAAAAAGTGACCATCCATATAGAGAAAGATTCATCATTCTGTAGTCAGAATTCATAGCTCAGGAAATCCATCTGTCTGTCTCTTGCCGTTAACCTCCTCCTTTTGAGAAACTGTGGATTACTGGAATGATGTCCAGTGGAAGTGACCAAGCATGATCTTGGTAACAAACTAAGAAATGATTCTTATGTGAATTGGAATCACCAAATAGGGCGCTATTTCTAGATCACATCTTTCCATTATTTTCTAGAAGTATGACAGCCTCACCCACCAATCATCTCAAAGCCATCTACTTCTACAATGGGAGAGAGTTTTGCCATTTTAGAAATTAAATGCTTGTCTTTCGGTTTGGTCTGGTGAAGATCACACTCTAAATCGAATTCTCACTGGCAGAATGACAGTTGTAGATTTATGTCTTTCAGCTTTCTTCCTGTTACATTCTAGACAGAAGTGACCTCTCAAGGCAAGATGTTTTTTATGGATTTTGCTCTGTTTATATTACTGCCATGAGGGCTGTGGTGAAGTACAGTACATTAAAGCCAATACATCACTGGCTGTCAATGGTGTCTTCCCTTGGTACTTCTTTTTCCTTGCTCATATGGAAAAAAAAAATCCATCCCTAAAAGTCTGTAGATGATGAGCAGCAAGGTAGATGATCATTTCCAACTCTCTTAACATTGTGCTGCATATAAAAAGTCCATGAGGGCATTTCAGAAACCAAATAAGAAAGCAAAGAACACAGGGAGAAATGAAATGATTAACACCTGTTTCTAAGTCTTCACAGAGATGAGAGAATCTGACCAATAGAGAACAAAACCACAAGGGGATCTGCAATGTTAGAACATTCTGTTCTGATTTCAAAACCTGTGTGGAATGTCTGTATTTACCTATGTCTTTTCCTATAGGGTTCACCACAGAGTTTGGAAGATGGGGAAGTCATGTGTAGTGGACAGCCAGAACTGCTGACATCACAAAATGCTAAACACACATCCAGGTACTTCTAATCAGCAGTATGTTTTTCATTTTCATAAACATGTCCATACAGTTCTTTCTCAGAACCTGAAATGCTCTTTTTGGAAACATCACCATGTTTTTATTAATAGTTTGTTTGTTTTTTTTCCTTCATACAAACCCTGTAAACCTTGCCTTTGGAGACCATTGTGGTAACTTGGGCTCTTATTTTCTGGTAACTATGTGTTACTTCTATGAGTCTTGCAAAATCTTGGCCACAGTATGCAAAACAAACATATTCTCTGAGTTGGTCAACCACCCTCATCATTCCCAGCCCTGCCTTTTGTTGGTATTGATTTAGATTCTAAACTACAAAACTTCTAAATACCTTTTTCTTATTGCTATACATAAGGGTGGGTGGCAAATAATTTCATTTTTGATAGACTTGAGCTATTATTGTCCTTCATTTTACAAGATGCTGCTCTTCTTATGGATTATTATTTATGTGTATGAGCCTGAATGAGGAGAATGAGTGTGAAGGACCAACCATCTTTTTTTAAAACACTATTTAGGTTTGGAGATCAGTGGCAATGATCTCAGAGTACATCTACTCCAACTTATACATGAAGAAGAATCACCTTTAGATCAGTCCCAACAAGGGAATGATCCCCATCTAACCTCTATTTGAAGATCTCCAATGAGGAAAAAATCAGCTGTAACCTGAGGAAGCTTTGGATAGTTCTGATTGTTCAGTGCTTGTTAAATGCTTAAGTCCATAAATCTAAAAGAATACATCTGCCCTTATATGAAGCCAAAATCTTCTTCATAGCAACCTCCTTCCATTGCTCCTGGTTCATTGCCCTGAGGCCAATCCTGTCTTCTCTAGCTTTATTTACCTAGCACAGTGTGTTCTGGTTCCATAACTGTTTTGAGCATAGAAAGCCTTCATTTTGGAAAAATTAATGGGTTACCTTAACCTACTATTCTTTCTTAATGTAATCTTTCTGTAAGTTTGGTAACACCTCTAAATTGAGGGGTTTTATCTATTGTGAGGTTTTTTTCCATAAGATTATAAATTTGAATTTCCAACGCTACCCCTTTAGAGCCTGTTCAGCACTTTATAGACACTATTTCAAGTAGTTTTTTTTTTCCTGGCATATGGATGTACCTGGCTTATGGTATCATAGACCAAACAACTAGGCTTCACCCCAGACATTGGACATTGATTACTGAGAAGGAAGGAATACAACATTAAAAAAAAACACACCTTCCTTTATGTTTTTTTATATGAAATATAATTTATCAGAATCAGCATATTTATCAACATAGTACTTAATAATAATCAATATTTACATACATATTTAAAGAAAGCTATTATTTAGAGTGCCTGAATATATAAAGAGAGTGTATGAACTCCTAGGTAAAGTTAAATGCCTTCTCACAGCCCCCAGTACTTATTTAATTTATCAGCAATCACTTCCATAAGCTTTTGAGTTTTAAATTTTTCTCCCCCTCCCTCCCCAAAATGGTGCACAATCTGATATAGGCTATACATATGCATTCCTATTAAGCATATTTTCCCATTAGTGATGCTGTAAGTAAGAATTAGAGCCAATAGGAGGAGCCACAAGGAAGAGAAAACAAAACAAAACAGAAGGAAAAAATAGCAAATAGTACGCTTTGATCTGCATTCAAACTCCATAGTTCTTTCTTTGGATGTGGATAGCACTTTTCATCATGAGGCCTTTGGAGGTGTCTTATATCCTTGCATTGCTGAGAATGGCTAAGTCTATCAACATTAGTCATCACACATCGTGGCTGTTACTGTGTACAATGTTCTCCTGGTTGTGCTCACTTCACTCAGCATCAGTCCACACAAGCCTTTCCAGGTTTTTCTGAAGTCTACCTGCTCATCATTTCTTATAACATAATAGTATTCCATTATATTAATATATATTCATATACCATAACTTGTTCAACCATTCCCCAATTGATGGGCATTCCCTCAATTTCCAATTCTTTGTCACCATAAAAAGAGCTGCTATAAATATTTTTGTACATGTTGGTCCTTTTCCCATTTGTATGATCTCTTTGGGATATAGCCCTAGAAGTGCTATTGCTGAGTCAAAGGGTATGCACATTTTTATAGCCTTTTAGGCATAGTTCCGAGTTGCTCTCCAAAATAGTTGGATCATTTCACAACTCTACTAACAATGCATTAGTGTTCCAATTTTCCCCCATCTTCTCCAACATTTATCATTTTCCTGTTTTGTCATGTTAGCCAATCTGATAGGTGTGATGTGGTACCTCAGAGTTATTTTGATTCGCATTTCTCTAATCAATAGTGATTTAGAGCATTTTTTCATATGACCATAAATGGCTTTAATTTCTTCATCTGAGAACTGCCTGTTCATATCCTTTGACCATTTATCAATTGGGGAATGACTTGTATTCTTATAAATTTGACTTAATTCTCTCTATATTTTAGAAATGAGGTACTTATCAGAGACACTGGTTGTAAAAATTCTTTTCCAATTTTCTACTTTCCTTCTAATTTTGGTTGCATTGGCTTTGTTTGTGCAAAAACTTATCAATTTAATATGATCAAAATTATCCATTTTGCATTTTAAAATTTTGTCTATCTCCTGTTTCATCATGAATTCTTCTGTTCTCCATAAATCTGATAGATGAACTATTCTTTGCTCTCCCAGTTTGTTTACAGTACCAGTCTTTATATTTAAATCATAAACTCATTTTGACTTTATTTTGGTATGTGGTGTGAGATTTTTGTCTATGCCTAGTCTCTGCCACACTCTTTTCCAGTTTTTCCAGCAATTTTTGTCAAATAGTGAGTTCTTATCCCAGAAACTGGGGTCTTTGGGTTTATCAAATAGTAGATTACCATAGTCACTGATTACTGTTTCTTGCATACCTAACCTATCCACATTCAATTTTCTCCAGAGGTCTACCATACCCAACTTTTCTAAAATTCTAAAGTCTAAAATTCTATTCACCTCCTTAACTTCTTTCTTATTTTTTTTGTGGTTAGATTTATCTAGTTCAGAGAAGGGGAGGCTGAGGTCCCCAGCTAGTATAGTTTTGCTGTCTGTTTCTTCCTGTAACTCCCTAAACTTCTCCTCTATGAATATGGATGCTATTCCATTTGGTTCATATATGTTTAGTAATGATATTACTTCTTGCACTGAGCCCCAGGCTTGGTACCCATGTTTCCTCTTATAACTTGTAGCAGATTACCTCAGACCTGGCTTCTGTGGGCACCTTCCTCAATGCTTGTCTTGCCTCCTCTGGAAATGAATGGCATCATGCAAGAGTTAGGAAGAGTTAGGAAGAACTCAAGGCTGAAATTATGGAACTCTGGTCAAAATATGTGCCTATATTTACAAATGCCCACATAGCATATCAACCTCTGTAGGCTAAGATCAAGAGTACAAATGATGCTGACACAAGTCAGTATCAACTTTCCTATCAGCATCAATATTTCTGACCTCCTCACATAAAACTAAATTTTATTGAATTTTATTTATAATTTTTAATTATACTTATTTTATTATATATATAAATTATATTATTTTAATAATATTTAATGAATTTTATTTATAATTTTTCTTTTGAAGTTTTCTTTTTTAAAAAACTGGCTTTAAAGGCCTTTATATTTTTAATGCATTTCTCCTAAAAGGTGGAATTTTTGGAACCATTTAGCATAGGCATGTTGTAGTTTTAAATTATTTTTAGCAGTGCTAATGTTGGTTTAATGTAAAATATAATCATGTCCAATGCCTTACCTCCATCCTTTTCCCTAAATCCCAGATGAAGAATTTATATTAGATAATTTGCAAATAATGAATGTGTCTGAGTATCTACTTGGAATGGTATTTCAGGAATTCTGAGAGAACACTAACAAAGACCTAATTCCCCAATTAATAGTGTGAACAAGTACTCACTTCAGTTCAAAAGATTTTGAGCAATACTATTCATCCATGATATGGATTATTTGAAGTATTCAGTTAGACAAGCCAATTCTTAGTCATCCATAGTAAGAAAAAGACATGTAAATAATTGAAAGACATAGTTAATCCATAGCCATCATTTTATACAATAATCCCCATCCAGCCCAGAATTTTGATGCTGACAGTGATACTTGGAGCCATTTTATAAGAGAGTATGATGATTCTCTACAAGAGAAGGTAATCCATTATGGAACTAGCATAGAAATTTATGTAAACCCTTCTTAAACCTATTTGAGTTTCCAGCTTATGTTATTGTTCAGGTTAATGAAGTTTCCTAAATTTGGCACTTTTTGTAAAAGTAGTACTTCCTGCTATCACTCTCTCAAATTTCAAGGGATTGCCATAGTTTCAGTTTGGGGTACAAATCTAAATTCACCCTAGTTATAAACTAGTAACTTTATGGCCATCAAATATGGGAACTTCATTCTATAATCTCACTTCCATATCATGAATAAAAATTCAGTTCAATTCATCAAACATATGTGGCTTCTGTGAGCAAGGAATTGTGCCAGATACTGTGTGTCTAGGTAGCTTAAGGAAGATTTCATGGAAAAAGATATAACTAAACTGGCCCTTAAAGGAAAAGAATGATTTTGATAGGTAGATATGGAAGGAGTTCATTCTAGGCATGGGGTAAAACCTGCACTAAAACATGAATTTGAAGAAATACAGGATTACATCAGGCAATATCATGAATTTATTAAAAATTTTGCAACTGTTGCTCAAAAAGTTGATACTGACTTGTGTCAGCATCATTTGTACTCGTGATCTTAGCCTACAGAGGTTGATATGCTATGTGGGCATTTGTAAATATAGGCACATATTTTGACCAGAGTTCCATAATTTCAGCCTTGAGTTCTTCCTAACTCTTCCTAACTCTTGCATGATGCCATTAATTTCCAGAGATTTGTTTATAACCACTTTGTCTACTGACAACCAGTATTCTTAATGCCTTTTGATCTAATTCTTCAGACCCTTCTGCTTTTGTTTAGTGTGTTTTGTGTTTAGTCAGTCC